TGCGAGTGGCCCGGGCCGTAACTTTTGATATGCGCGTTTCGCTGGTTCTTTTGCCTGCGTCATTTTGCATGCCATCAGGATCATCGGGGCGCGAAGGGGCCCCGCTGCATGCGCGCCGCGCGGGGCCCCGTGGAATCGCGCTGCGAGGTGACGCAGCGCGACGACGAGGGTCGCGCGTCGGTCCGCGCGCGCTCGAGCAAAGGATTTCACGCAGTTTACGTTTCACCGCTTGGCCTCACTCAGTGCAGCGAAGAAGTTTGTTTGGAAGTGGCAGCCATGATGAACGGGGCTCATTCAGACCAGATCCAACATGATACTGCAAGGCTGGAGTTTGGTTGAGCCATGTCTGATGTGGTGCTCGTGGCCATGGAGGTGGCCTCGTGCAGAATGACGGAGCTGGGCGGGGTAACCTTCGGAAACTTGTAGCGCATTTATTCTCTAAATTGGCTGAGCCAGGTTTGCGCTGGGCTCGGGGAAAGGAGAAGCGACGCCACCGCCACCACCAGGGGGCCACCTCTTGCGAGGGAGTCCACGATGTCCCCCCGAGCAAGGAGCAAGGGAATGTTTCCAGCGGGGGGATGTCTCCAGCGAGAGGGGGGGCATTTCACCGCCAAGGGGACCTCCCCTGGCTCTTCGCGCTCGTGGACCCTGGTGCTGGTGACGTATCTTCTCCTTGTTCCTCGCTACGCGGGGGCTGCTGTGCAAAACTGGGTTCGCGAACGGAGGTTCGCTGTGGCTGCACTGCTTGGTGACATGAGCTGGGCGGTGGGGCCCCTCCCGCCCAGCTTGGGCGCAGGTAGTTGCGATGACAAGACTGTGATGATCCTACCTACCGACCCCAGCCATGCACCGAGCGCAGCATGTGCTCCTAGGAGCCTGGCTAATCCATGTCCGAAGTCGGCGGTCGTTGGCCGTTGACCGGCGGCTTAGCCCCCCCCCAGGAAGCCCGCCCGGCGCGGCCTGCGGCGCCGTGCCGCACTGCGCCGGTGGGGGCCTCCACGACGCCTACGGGCAGCCCGCCGGGCGCGCCGCGCGGGCGGTCGCCACGGCGACGGTGGCGACGAGGGCGCCGACGCCGACGCCGACGACGACGACGACGCCGACGCCGACGACGACGACACGACCACGACCACGACCACGACCGCGACCACGACCGCGACCACGACCACGTCAGGGGCTTCCATTTTGTAAGCCGAGGTTTTTTCGTCAGGTTTCGGGCCTTGGGATCCTCACATATCGAGCCAGTGCGAGACATGGCGCGGAAAGATGGGCTGCAAGGTCCGGGTCGCCATTGCGCGTCGGTCGTTGAACGTAGGTTGTTCTGGATCCTCAAATCCCACTCTGATTCTGGTGTTTTCCCTGCTCCACGAACCCATGGGCGCAGCTCGGAGCCTTGCGAGGATGTGCCCCGGGGGGAAGGGCCCTCGCGCCGATGTTGAGTGGCCTCCTTTGGTCGGGCGGCGGCGGCGATGGGCGGCGATGGGCGCCGACGGCGCCCGCTCCCCGTCCTTTCGCCCCCTCCGTGCGCGCGTGGAGGCAGGGGAGCGCCGTGCTTCTGTTGCTGAGGCCAGACGCCGTCTGCACGTAGGGACTTGTACTTCCGGTGTGTTGGGCCGGTGTGTGTTGGGCGATGTGCTGGCAGGGCGGCCCCCACCCGTCCGTCGCCGCCCCGTTGCATCCCCGCCCCACCCCTTGCACCCCCCTCGTTCGCATCGCAAGGCTCACCTTGCATGGCTTTGCACGGCATTGCATTGGATTGCATCGCATGACATTGCGTTGCATTGCTTTGCGTTGCTTTGCATTGCTTTGTGCTGCTTTGCGCTGCTTTGCATTGCTCTGCAACGCATGATATTCGTGTGCATTGATTTGCGTCACGCAGATTGCATTGCGTGGATCGCACTACCTAGACTGCACCACATTGATTGCACCACCTAGGTCCTTGCACCGCACACGTTGCAAGACATCACGGTTTGAGGTCCACGCTGGTTCTAGACTGCACCGCATCCAGTCGCGTGCTGCAAGTCCGGCCACCGTGCCATTCCAGCATTATGATGCATGTGACACTGTTCGGCCTCACTTCTTGAGGAGCTCTCGTGGAGCTCACCTGGGCCATATTTTAGCTGTCTTGGGCTCTTGTGGGGCAGTCTCGGCGGCCCGTCGGGACCCTATGAGGCCGTCTTGAGGCCGGACTGGGCCACCTTGTGGCTCCTTTGGGTCTAGCTAAGGGGGTCTCTGGGGGCCGTCGCGGGGTCGTTCTGGAGTCGTCCTGTCCGTCGAGGGGCCCTCTGTGGTCGCATCAGATCCCTCTGGAGGCCCCCTTGGGCTGGCTCTGTGCCCTCTCGGGGCCGTCTTGAGGCTGGCCGGGGGCACCCCTGGAGGCCGCGGGGGCCGTCCCGCGGAAGCCCACGACGGCGACAGTGCGGAAGTCCCTCGAGAGTCTCGGGGAACTCCGCCTCTTGGCAGTCCCTGGGGCCTCTTGAAGCGTCTTGTGTGCCTCGAAGGTTCTCCTCTTGTGGCCGTCTTCTGGAGGTCTCTCAGGGGCCTTTTCGGGGCCTCCACGGCACCTCTGGGCCGTCTTGGGGCACCCATGGGGGCCTCGGGGGCCATCTTGGGGCCACTCTCGAGGAGATCGACCGGTGTCAGCCACGCTCGCAGGACGGTGTGTCCAGTTTCGCGCGCGCGAGTGCGGACAACCGCTCGCCGTTCCGCCCCTCGTCATCCACCCCTGCGCGTCGTATGTCATGGCGTGTTGGTTATCGTTAATGTTGGCTGGTTGGGCCGTTCTGTACCTTCCAGCTCGTTCACTGGCACGGGGGCGATACGTTTTCCCTTGAATTCGTATCTCGTGTTTTTTGGTCGTTTCGTCTCTCCCTCTTCCCCTCTTCTTTCCTCGTCCTCGTCATCTCCCCGAATGTGGTGACGTTTATTCGGCTGGCCTCTATAGAACACTGCTGCTTCGCGGGAGCTGCAACGGCTCGTCGATAGGTGCGGTGTTGGCCATATTGTGAGGCAGCGGATTGTTCGGTGGGAACAATATTGAATGAGATCTATTCGAGCAGGGGCGTTCCTTGACTAGCGTTGCCCCTCAGGAGGCCAACGTGTTTTGTCCAAACCTTAGTAACATTAATGTGACTTGCTCGCCGAGGCCATCTTGGGCGCTCCAACCCCTCGCGGAAGGCAGGGGGAGGGGTAAACCCTTCCCCGAAGGGGACTAGGGAAGATGGAAGAGGAAATTTCCTGAAGCAACCACGCCCAGAGGGCTGGTGGGATTACAGTCGGAGGAGGAGGAGGAGGAGGAGGAGGAGGAGGAGGGAAGGAGGAGGAGGAGGATGATGAGAAGAAGGAGGAGGAGAATGAGGAGGAGGAAAAGCTACCCTTACCGCTACCCTTGCCGCGTTCTCGCTTTTGGGGGCCTCCTGGGAGGCTCTCATGCCATGGTTGGATTCGCCTCGAAATTCTTGTCAGAACGCACCCTGGGAGAGGTCCGGGGAGCAGCGGTAGCGGTACATAGTGGTTTCCCCGTGCAGAAGCATTGCCAGACAGCGCTAGGCATTTTTCCACGTTTCAACTTGCTAGGGGCACGGTGTCGCATCCATGTCAACGGGTGAAGGGATTCATACTTTGCGCGATTAACCACACGAGGCGAGGGGAGGGAGGATAGCGGATCAGGAGGAGACAGATGAAGATGATGAGTGTTGCCGTCCATGTTCGTCTTCGTCCTCGGCCATTCGCGGTCCTTCGCCGGTCGGTGCTATTCGGCGATGGTCGTTCGTCGTCGTGGTCGGTCGTTGATCGCCCGTCGTCGGTCGTCATCGAACGCCGTCGTCGGTCTTCGGTGCTCAAAGGCGGTGGAGAACGTGGTGATGGTCGTCGTTTTCGTCGCCGTCGTCCTCATCGGTCGGTGCTCGCCGTCCGTCGTTGGGTTCCTCGCGGTGGTCTTCACGGGCGCCGACGCCTACCACGACGGTGTGCGCAGATGACGGCCGGTTCCGACGACGGCGCCTCCTCCAGCCGGCGACTGCGAGGACGATGAGAGCCGACGACGTCGCCGGCCACCGGCGACGGCGAATGCGGCGGCACTCCTCCGTCTCCGCCTCTTCCTTCTCCTACTCCCCGTCTTCCCCCCCTGTCCGTAGAGACTGCAATCATGAATGATGGTTAATGGTAATGGTGATGGTGGTGGTGATTACGACGACGAGGAGGAGGAGGAGGAGGAGTTGAAGGATGAGGCGCTCAACGTCGTTGCCGCCGTCGTCGTCGCCGTCGCCATCGTCGTCGCAGCTATCATCGTTTTTCGTCGGTCGTCGGACGTCGGCGTGTGTCGTCGTCGGTCGTCGGCGGTGCCTCGTCGTTCTCAGCGCTCGGCGTCGGTCGTTTGAGGGGGTCGTCGGTCTTTCGTCGGAGCTCGGCGGCGGCGGCGGCGGTAGATGTGGTGTTTGTTGTCGGTTGTCGGCCTTCGCCCACTGTAGTCGCTTGCGCAGCCGTCGTTGTCGGCGTCTGTCGGCGGTCGTGTTGTTTTCGGCGCGGTAGGTTGCTCCCTTCGGCAAAGCAGCGGGAGGAAGGATGAGGAGGAGCCCCCCCCGTCGTCGGGCGTTGGTCATCCAACTCGTCGTCGTCTCACGACGGCGCTCGTCGCCGCTCGCCCAACCGCCGTCTTTCGCCAACCACCGTCTTTCGCCAACCGCCGTCTTTCGTCAATAGTCGTCGTTTGTCAATCGTCATCGTTGTCTTCGTCGTTGTTGTTCGCGAGTAGTGGGGATGGAGCGGCCCGTGCCTAATGCCAGGGCAACGCAACAACGACGAAGGAAGAGGTCTTTGATGAGAAGCGGAGGAGGATGACACGATTGCAATGATGATGAAGATGATGACGACGAGACGGTGATTATGATACTACATACTTTACCTCATGTGTCCATCGCCCCCTCACCCGAGTGCTGCCGCGCCCTTTGCAGCATCGTTTGTGTCTGTAACCCTTTCGCTCACATTTTTTCCCGGACCAGGCTCCGAGCAGTGCATGGCAGGGCTGCTGCCGGGGGCCCTGGCTGGGCTGGCGAGCCTCATCTGGCTCTCGCGCTGCCCGTCTGTGCCTGCCTGCCCACCTTGCCCCCAGTGCCCAGCGTGCCCTGGGGCCCCAGCCAACCCGCCCTCGCCACTGGCCGCAGGCGGGCTCGGGGTGTGGGGGTGGGTGCTCGTCGCGGGTTGTTTCTTCGTGACCGGACTTGCCCTGGGCACGTGGCTGACGCCGACGAGACTCGTGGTCCAGACTGAGCCGAGAGATGGAGCTCAGCCAACGGCTGAGAACTTGGGCGCTCGTGCTGTATAACGACGCGGCCCCACCTCGATTATGGCACCAACGCCGGGTGTTGGGAGTCGTGGTGTCGTCGGAGAGTAATGTGCTGGTGTGTACTCCCGACGACGTGTATAGTGAAGAGCTGCTGGACCTTGACAACCAGCAGCATGTGACGGCCGTGCGGTTCTCCGACCGCCGCTGGCCCCCTCCAGGCGGAGTCCCGCGGGCGGAGTGCTATCGCTTTCGGGCGGACCTGGGGGCGGCGGACCTGGCGGCCCGCGAGGCCGAGGCCGTGGTTCCTGCGAACGAGATCTACGTCGCGCAGGAGAGGGCCAACGGCCGCCCTGCGGTGCCGCCCCCAGGAGGAGCCCTGAAGCTGCTGGCGGAGATCCTGGCCGAAGGCGCTGCCGCCCCTGCGTAACCACCGCCTGCGAGGGAGGCCGAGGAGTTAGGCGCTGCTGCCCCGCTGGGGGCCGACGCTCGCATCCTGGACCTCCAGATGATCGAGGTTCCCAAGGGCTCCCCCGCCGCACGCCGCAGGCGACCGTGGCGGGACGTGGCCATGATGTTTTCGATCGTGCAGTTCAGCGACTGGCCGATCCTGGGCCCACGCACCGTGGCATGGTGTGTGGCGTACATCAACCGACGTGGAGCCGGCCCGTCGGATCATCATCAGTTCTTCAAGCAGGTGCACGGTCTCACGAAGACCGACTGGGGCGCGGACGCCCACGGAGTGATCTTGAGGATGCTAGAGGAGGCGGGCTGCTACGACGGGCTCGACGCGACGAACGCTGCTGCCCTCGAGGTCGCGATGCGCCGCGCCCAGCTCGGAGTGCGTTTATGCCCAGGATGCCGCGGGCAACGGCAAGGGCAAGAGCAAACAGGGTAAGCAGAGCAAGGGCGGGGGGCTCCAGGATCGGATCGGGCTGGTGGGTGAGGCCTCCGTTTTCCCGGGCGCCCACCGCGACACGGGCGAGGCGATGATCGCCCCCGACCTCCTCGACTATGTGGCGACGGAGGTGGAGAGGGATGCATCGGTGATGAAGCAGGTGAGAAAGGCGCGGGAGGAGCGCCGCGTGCTCGCCTCGCACCAGCAGCCAGGCCGGGCCTCGAAGGGCCAACAGGAACAGGGGTGATGCGGGCAGGCCAGGCGGCGGACGACTCCGACCGCCGTCCGGCACCTTTCAGGAGTTTTTGGAGGCGCGCCCGCGGCGATGGCCGCACGCGCGACATTCTGCCCGTCCCTCTCGAGGCCCTTGCTGCGGAGAAGGATGCTAATTCGGTGCCACTTAGTCGTTCAGTGCTTCGGCGAGTTCAGCGTCGTGCCCACTTGCGGTCCGGGGCGGCGGAGACCATCGCTGCCCTCAACCACTTCTATTGCGGCGTCTCCGAGCCGAGAGAAGATCGTGCTCCCCGTCTGGCGGCCGCCCAGGCCGAGAGCGTATTTTGGGCCCGCGTGGCCTGGTCGCAGGTCGGCCCGCCGCCGCCCGACGTGGAGCCCTCGGGGGCCATGGGTGAGCTCCGAGGTTCGCGGCGATTTCGTCGCCCCGTTCGACGTGCGCAACCTCGCACTCCCGCCCGTCGGTTTCGAGCCCGTTGACTTGGAGTGGGCTGGGGGCGCGGTTGGCAGATTCATCGTCGACCGTCTGAGAGAGAAGCTCTTGCGAAGAGAGCAAGCATAGATCAATGAGGAGGAGGCGGGCGGCAGTCGCCCGCGTAGGGGCCCCGCGCTTCGCCAGCGGCCGCGCGTCTACGCCGCCTTCTTCCGGCGGGCCGAGGCGGCGGGGCTCGTCGAGCGCCGACGCTCGGCGGGGGCGGAGGCGGGCGCGTTCTTGGTCTGGAAGAAGTCGCGGAGGCAAAGAGCGACTATAGATGCTAGGGTCGCGAACTGCGTGTTCGACCAGCCCGACTCCGTGGAGCTCGCCGCGGGGCAGGCCTTCAGCGCGGCGCGCGCCGACGAGGGGCCGCCCATCATCGTCGGGGGGGGGGGGGGGGGGGGGGCGCCCAGGTCGCCTTCTACGCGATGCTGCTTCCCCGCGACCTCCGCGCGCACTTCGACCTTGCCCCGGCGCGAGCTGGCACGGTGAACGTGACCTGCGTCAACGGCGAAGCCGTGTGCGCGCAGGATCGCATCGCGCCCGTGCTGAGGGTGCTGCCGATGGGCTGGAAGCGGGCCCTCTGGGCGTGCCAGGCGCTGCGCGAGGCCGTCTTCGACCTTCTCGACGAAGATGGGAGATGACGATCGGCTTCGGGACTCCGCGCCCCCGCCCACGCTCGCCCCAGGCCTGCGCGCGATGCGCGGACAGCTTCATCGCGCTGAGCCAGGGCGCGGAGGGGGTGAAGGACCGCGTCCTGTCCGCCACCCAGGCGCTGCAGGATGCCGGGCTGCCCGCGCACCCTCCGAGCTGGGGCGCGGGGGGCGAGGCGCTGGGCCGGCGCTTCTCCGAGCTCGAGGCCGCCGTGGAGGTGCCCCCATCGGTCCGCCTGGCGCCCCCGACTGGGCACGTTGGCCCTCGCCGACAGCAGTTTCGTCAGCGGTCGGGAGATGTCGAGCGTGATCGGCCACTGCACTTTTCGAGCCCTGGTTCGCAAGGAGCTCCTCAGCGCCCTCTCGGCGAACTACGCGCGCGTCGAAGCTTTCGGGGAGAGGCCGGGCCACCTCTGGGACAGCGCGCGGCACGAGCTGCGCCTGGCAGCCGCGCTGGTGCCATTGGCCCGGCGGCAGCTGGGGGCCTGCTGGGGCCCGCGGGCCACCGCGTTCGACGCCTCCGCGCGGGGCAGAGGCGTCGTGCAGAAGCGCGTGCCGGAGGAGTGGCTGGCGAAAGCCTCGGCGTTCAACGAGCGGCGGCGCTTCGCGCGCTCCGAGGAGGGCGCGGTCGCTGCCCGCGGAGATCTGGACGTCCCAGATCTTGGAGCTCGTCGGCGCCGTGCCCCGCCCGTTCCTCGATCTATGTGGGGACGTGTCTGGAAAAGAGTGCCATCGTCACCCTGGGATCGTCAGGGGCCCCAGGTCGTCTTGGAGGGCAGAGCGTGGGTGCGGCTTGAAACACGTATTGCGGGGTCGGAAGTCCATCGGAAAGCGCCGCGTGATGTTGTCTGCCGCCGCGTCCTTCATCCTTGCCGCCTCCAAGGGCTGCCCCTCGGCTCAAGGCATGCGCCCCGTGATGCGGCAGTGGGCCGTGCTCTGTTTGATCGGCTCCGTGTCTGTCCACTTCCGATGGGCGCCATCCGAGGGGAACGCGGCCGACGACAGCTCCAGAGGCGGGCCGCTGTGCAGCGCTGAGGCCGCCCGCGGACCTGCTGGGCGCGATGCTGCCGCGGCCGCTCGGCTTCGCGAAGACGGTCCTGGGCAGGGTGACGAAGCCTTTGAGCCAGACCGCCCTGCCGAAGGTGTCGCTGCTGAGCCGGCCGACCTCGCCGATCGCCAGGGCGCAGGTGTCGGCGTCGGGGCGAGTGATGCGGCGGCTGGGGCCCAGCGCGGGCCCTTCGGTTCCGCGCAGGTCGCGCCGTGGCGCGGGCGCGGGAGCGGCCCCCCGGCCACCCGGGGCGACGAGGAACCGCCCGCTGGGCCGGGGGCGCGGGTTGGCCGAGCTGGAGCCGGACGCGCTGGGGCTGAGGAAGAGGCGGAAGCTGGAGAGGTACGGCAGCCAGAGGACGGGCGCCGACGCCCCGATGAGCTTCCTGGAGCGCCGCACCGCGCGGCCGCGCACAGAGGCCAACTACCGCAACCGAGTGGCCGCCCCCGAGCGCTGGGCCCGGGCGTCCAGGGCGCCGCTGGAGCCCGTGGCCGCGGTCGACGCTGCCGCGGCGGCTTGGAAGAACGAGCAGTTCTTCGAGGGCGCCGGGCTGGGGAGCGGCAGCTACCTCCTGGCGGCCCTGGGGTATCTGCGGCCTGAGCTGACTCGCGGGGCGCCCGAGCTCGTTCGGAGTCACGCTGCCAAGAGAGGATGGCGGCTGGTGGCTCCGACCAAGTCTCGGTTGCCGATCCCGCCCCCAGGGCCCCAGTGGCTGCCCCTCGTGGCTTAACGCGCTGGCGTTCGAGGGAAAGCTGCAGATGGCGTCGGCGGCGATGGTGGCCGTCGTGTTCATTCTCAGGCCGAGGCGATGCGCATCCGAGTCCAGGACGTGGCGCCCCCGCCCCGAGAGGGCGGGACAGGTCGCAGCCGCTGGTCATTGGTCCTTCGCCCCCTCGAGCAGGGAGTGAGCTCAAAGACGGGGGCGTGCGAGGAGTCGCTGGTGCTCGACATCCCCGAGTTCGCCTGGCTGGGGAACGTGCTGGACCTCCTCAGGCGGGAGGCCTAGGGGGACTACCTGTTCGGTTTCATCTGCGCCGACTGAGTCCAGGGCTTCGCCGACGCGGGCCGACGGCTTCGCCTCGGGCACCTGGGTCCGCCCGCGCCGTGCCAATTCAAGCGCGGGGGGGCGTCGCGCGAGGCGTTCGCCCGGTTCAGGGGCGCAGCCAGGCTCAATCAGCGCGCGCGCTGGAGCAGCGACGCGTCCGCCCGCAGGCGCGTCAGGAGGGGCATGGCCAACCAGGTTCTGGCATCCCTCGGCGCAGCCGTGCGGAGGCGCGGCGCCGACTGCGAAGCCAGACTTGGTCGCCTCCTCTCGAAGCGATCGCCGCCGTTGCTGCCGCCAGTCGCGGCGGCGTGGCCCTGGGGGTTTTCGCGGGCTCAGGCCGCTCCCCCCGCGGCTGGCGGAGGCGCACTCGGCTGGCAGGCGCGCCCATTTACGAGATCGACATCCGCCGCCACCTGTCGCGCGACCTCGCGGTCCGCAAGGGCCGGTGGATCATCGGAGGTCTCATCCAGCATGGCCTCGCGCGGGCTATCTGGCCAGGCGCGCCTTGCAACGCTTTTTCGCGGGCTTGAGAGTTGGGCCCGCCTGGGCCACCGCCCTTGCGGTCCGCCGAGTTCCGGGCAGGGCTCCCCAACCTGAAGCCGCACGACCAGCAGAAGCTGGAAGTGGGAAGCGCACTGGCCGCCTTCGCCGCCCGCCTGATGGCGGAGCGTCGGCGGGGGAATGCCCCGGTCGCGCTCGAGAATCCTTGGGCAAGTCGGCTTTTCCAGCAAACCTGTTTCCTGGAGCTCCCACAGACCGAGCTGCGCACAGCCGTCACTGACTACTGCCAGGACGGCACGCGCTGGAGAAAGCGGACGCAGCTCTGGGGCTATAATATCGACTTGAGCTGTGTAGGGCGTCTGTGCTCTGGCCGTGGTATATGGCCCCGTACCCAGCAGCCACGCGTGACTTTGCACGGAAAGCAGGTCGGGACTTTCGTCGCTGCAGCCGCCGAGCCATGCCCCCGGCCGCCGTGCAACCGTCTCGCCCAGGTTTTCACCGACGCCCTTGTTGCCAGAACTTATCCCAGTGCGACCCTACCTAGGAAGTGGAGCCCCTAGGAAAGCAGCAGTAGCAGTAACAGTAAAGCTAAGCTGGATCGAAGCTAAAACTAAGCTGAAGCTAAGCTATAAGCTAAAGCTAAGCTAACGCTGCTAAGCTAAAGCTAAGCTAAAGCTAAAGCTAAGCTAAAGCTAAAGCTAAAGCTAGGCCGAAGCTAAGCTGAAGCTAAGATGAAGCTAAGCTAAAGCTAAGCTAAAGCTAAGCTAAGGCAAAGGTAGAGCGAAGCTAAAGCTAAGCTACAGCTAAGCTAAAACTAAGCCCAAGCTAAGCTAAAACTAAACTACAGCTAAACTAAAGCTAAACTAAAGCTAAGCTAAAGCTAAGCTAAAGCGAAGCTAAAGCTAAGCTTAAGCTAAGCTAAAGCTAAGCTAAAGCTAAACTAAAGCTAAGCTAAAGCTAAGCTGCAGCTAAGATAAAGCTAAAGCTAAAGCTAAGCTAAAGCTAAAGCTAAAGCTCCCAGGGGACTGGGGGAACCGCGGGGTGGGGACTGGGGGAACCGCCCGGGGCGCTTTCCACTGCCCGGCCCCTTTAAGCTAGAGAGTAAGAACCTTTCTAGGCAGAGCCTTGGTAGGGAAAATGAGAGACCGATCTTGTGTATTGGATTCGGCTTGACAGCCACGGGTCAGTTTGGATACGCGAGCCTGACATTAGTTTTGGAGAGCTGGGCCCAGAGAGAGCGTTTTTCTTCGAGGGGCGCTCGCTGTCATCGGCGGCGCGCGTCCAGTGGTCTGTCTCGCCGCCTGTGCGGAGCGTGCCCCCAGGTGTCCGACTCAGAGAGGCACTGAAAGATGGCAGTCTGGGGTCTTGGTCACCGTCCATGCTGGCAGCACGGAGCGAGGGGAGAGCGTGGGATGAGCATGATGGTGATTATGATGGTGATGGTGATTGTGACGATGGAGATGCTAGTGGTGAGGATGAAGATAATGAGGATGATGAGGGTGACGAGGATGATGAGGATGAAGGTGCGGATGATGAGGAGATGATGGCAATGATGTGCACAGGGAGGACATGACATGAAAATCACCATACGCTCCATCCGATGTCTCTGGTCTGGACAGAGCTAAGCGCGCTGTGCAATTCAGCTGGAACAAAACATCATGTACAATCATGCAAGATGTACTATGCTTATGATTCTGGAGTGGCGGGTCTGATCTAGCCAGGACTTTGCCCAGAGGCCGGGGCCTCGAGGCGACAGGACGTGCTCTACGGAACATCCTTGGCTTCAGAGCACACTTCCCGATCTCAGACGCCTGAGGGGACTGTGAGGGGCAATTCCGGATTGATTCCCAGGGCAGACTCCGACCCTAACGGCGAGAGAAAACAGCCAAAACAGACAAGTTGTTTGGGGAACAAACCACTGCATCTGAATGCTGCTGCGCTGCGGACCCCCGCGCGCCCACCCCTGGCGAAGCAAGTCCCGGTACAAATGAATTCCCCGCTCATTGCCCTCCAAGATGTTGTATATTACTATTACTATGCTGCTGATTGTGCCATCGTTGCGCCATGCAGCAAACCCGATCACTACTCAGCATCTGCTGATACTGAGGAGACTCAGAGACAAATACGACGAGAAGCCAGACAATCAGTGACAAGTCGGAGCCTAGATGGACGAGGGACGGAGTTTGATCGTACGTCATCACCTGGCGCAGCGGCTGGACGTGTTCTGAACACTGCCCTGTCAACACCAGCTGCAAGCAATGGTAGCCCAGGAGTGTGACCAGCATCTCGTGGCTGGTCAGACTGACAGTGATCAGGTATAGAGATTCCAACATCAGCTGGTTTGCTAACCGTGCCATTTCAAACAAAAAATATCACGTGGCTGATCGGATGGAAGTCCACCGTGACACCTAGCAAGCTGAGACGTTCGTGGATCCACTGCCTTTCCCCGTTCACCGCTTAAGCTTCCATCTGCTCGAGCATCTGCTGGATCTCGTGCTCCATGAACGTGGCGGGAACACGACCTTGTTTGAGCTGCCAGCCCTTGATCCCCGCATAGGCCTGCAGTATCTATCTGGCGGAAGCTCGGATCCCTGACCGCGACCGTCATTTTCTTCATGCCCTGCTGGAAGACCTTCTCCACCTTGCAGCACAGCACCAGGTCGCACTTGTTCTGAATGTTCCACGCTCCGTACTACTCGTAGGCTTTGTTGAGCTTCTCGTGAAGCTCCTTGGTCATCGTGAACCCCGTGCCGGGGGGCTTCTGGGATCTGCTCCTTCAGCCACTTCAGCGCGCCGCCGAAAGACCAGATCAGAGGAGGGCCGTACTCGTGGTCCTTCTTGCCTTTCACCAGCTCGCTGTGCATTGAAGTCTGCTCCTGCATCGCCGGGAGGGGCTGAGAGTCCTCGGGGGTGAGGCATGCGTCGAAGAGCGCCGCCATCACCTCGCGCATGTGCTGGGAGTTGCGGAGAGTTTGGCGCATCATCATCACCCCGAAGGCTTGTTCGGATGCAACTCCTGGGAGGTCAAATTCTGATCTTGCCCTGGTCCGAAATCCGGCTTAATCCCGCTTAATCCCGCTTAATCTGGCTTAATCCCGCTTAATCCGGTTTAATCCCGCTTACTGCGAGGCCCACTCCGGCGTAATAGCCCCCAAATGGGGCTTGATCCTCCTTAATCTTTCCGACGAAAACCGCCCAGCAGTTGCCTCCTAAGGCTTGCTTCTGACCCGTCTGCCAATTCTTGACTTCCTTCCAGCGCGTCGGCGCGCTGGTCGCCCTCGGCCTGGCGCGGGCGCACCTGGCGGGCGTGGGCGGGCTCGGGTGCTCCTGCCCCGCTGGACGGCAGCACTGCCGGCATGTGCTGACCGCCGAGGGAGGAGGAGGAGGAGGAGGAGGAGGAGGAGGAGGAGGAGGAGGAGGAGCTCGAGGAGGAGGAGGAGGAGGAGGAGAGGAGGAGGAGGAGGAGGAGGAGGAGGAGGAGGAGGAGGAGGAGGAGGAGGAGCTGGAGGAGATGGAGGAGGAGGAGGAGGAGGAGGAGAGGAGGAGGAGGAGCTGCGGTAGCTTAAGCCGCGGGAGCGGTTCAGGAGGGTGTTCACGGCGCAGGTGTGCGTGTAATTCGCTCACTCAGGCCAGCCACAACTGGGGGAGCTGTGGTCCTTACCCCCCTGGGGGATCCATCGATTTCGACACCTCTCTCGAGAGATCGTCGATGCGATGGGTCCCCCCAGGGGGGTAAGGACCACAACTCCCCCAGTTATGGCTGGTCGGTCACTGAGCCAAAAGCTGCTACATCACATAGTCTGCATTGAAGGACTCCGGGCACCTGGAGCTCCCAAGGCATGTGATCCCTGCCGAGCTGGCATCGTCCAGTAGCACAGGCCCGTTTGAGATGATGCTGGGTAGACTGGATCTCCCGAAAGCCCGAGCAACAATTAGGACACTGATTCATAATCACTCCCGAGTTTTGAATAGAACGAATACCATGGTGATAAGTATGATGTGCCAGAAGTTGTTGAAACGTAGCAGAGCCAAAACCACAGCGCTGCTGACTAGGTTCCATAAGACTACACATATATATATATACACACATACATGTCTATATATATACACACGCATCACCAGATCGAGGTGCGCGACAACGAATACGACGAAATTATTGATCCCAGTGCCGCTTATCAGTAAATACAGCTGATCGCAAAATGCTAGGGTCAATCATCAACAAGTCATGGGCAGCACCCGGATTCTCCGCGACGAGCTCTTTCCGCGAATCCCCTGCATCGCCCCAGATCTCGAAGAAGGTTTCGGTGCCATTCATACCACGATAACACTTCAGGCCACGAGCAAATTGAACGATCCACGGATTAGCCGATCTACTCAGCGTGCCAGAAGGTGTAAGGTTGGTTATTCATGCATGACGTGCCCCAGGAGGACCGAGAGGGTCTGCGCGTGAGCGTGTCTGTGCCGAACCATACTCTGGAGCCAACGGACCCGTCGGACCGCTGGCTCGCCTGCGCTCGGCAGGATGCGCCACTCACGCAAGACCTCGTCGTTGCTCAACGATACGGCGTGTGACCCCTCCCGGGTCGTCGCCGAGCCTTTCATCAGATCGCGGAGATAGCGGACGATGATCGTGCAGAAGTGAGCGTGCTCCGACGGAGTGCGAACGAAAGTCTCGAGCCCGGTGAGGCCCTTCTCCACGACCGTGCTAAGACAGAGTTCCCGCTTAAGACGACGAATACCCCCCTCATACCAGAAGAGTCCGACGACAACGGTGGCAATGACGGTGGCGACTGCAGAGGCGACGACAACGACGACGACGACGAGGACATCGACGAGGGCGGCGACGATCGACGGACGACGCACCACGTGGGCGACGGACGACGACGACCACCACGACGACGACGACGACGACGATGACGACGACGACGACGACGACGACGACGACGACGACGACGACGACGACGACGACGACTGCGACGACGGCGTTGGCGACGACGACGAAAGGCGCCGTCGAACGAACATCGTCCAC